TGTTTGTTTGTATGCAGCCTAAACGGCTAAACCGATTTTCTTAAAATTTTCACAGTGTGTTCCCGTATGCCTGTAAGGAATAATAGGCTACTTTTTATTTTAAAATTCCAAGTGGGCGAAGTGCGGACTATTTTCCTAAGGATTCTTAACTTTTTTTCAGGGAACCAACCCCAAATCAATAGTAATCCCTGTTAAAATATTATGAATATTTCGGCTTTTTCATTTAAGCACCTGGAAATTCGCAATAGAGAAATTAAATTTTACATTTAAGCAATGGAAACTCGTATCGTGGTGTAAATAAAATATTTCAGATCTGTTGGTCACATTTACAGTTAATGGGACCCAGCGGAAAGCTCCAACTAAAGAAATACTAAAAATGCACTAAAGTTTTGGAGTAGGATTTTTATTGATGTGTTTGGTTTCATGGAGAAGAGTTAGGAATCTTAAAAAAATAGAAGGAATATTGAAAACAATTCCCTATGTAGACACTTCAAGGAGTTCTTACCTGCCAATTCCTTAAATCCTTTAGTGTAAAACACACTAAACCTTCATTATGTAGGACGACGACCTAAAACAAAAGATTTATATAACCATCTAATATATTGAGGACAACTATATTAACTGTTTGAATTGTCCTCAACAATAAACAAGGCGGAATCGAACCAAAAATGTTTCAGATAAGCACAAATATACCAAAATAATGAGATTTCCAATGGCCCATAACCTAAAAAAGCATTAGGTGACGATAAATGTAGAATGAGCTAAAATTAACACATTTTTTTAATCTAATTTTATTAAAAACATGCAAAAGAGTCTTAAACCTATCATTACAGCAAAAGTTTGCTACAATAAATGCTGATATATCCATGCGAAAATAGAAAATGTCCATATATATTTAGTTAGGGTTACAATAGTGTTCACAAAAACATGATTACATTTTTCACTCCTTTTCTACGAAAATCAATTTTAATTTCATAATTTATGGCTTAGTTAATTTTTCAGGACGTAATATATTTAAAATATAAAGAATGAAATTTTTATCTTGCTGGAAAAAATTTTTATACTAAAAATATTAAAATTTTGTGTTCTTGTGAACAGTTATGGAAATCACTGTATACGAAATTTTGTATTTTATTCATATGGGAGGTGCCAATCCCCCATTGAAAGTCAGCCCATTTTGCTCTAAATGTTCACATGAATGTCAAAGTTCTTCATGTAAAATTTGAAGATTCTAGCTCTAGTAGTTTTTCAGATACAAACATTTTTCTATTTAATTCATATGGCTGTGCCCAGCTCCTCTTGATTAAAGTCCGTCCTTTATTCACCAAAATGTTTAGATGAATATTAAAGTTCTTCGTTGAAAATTTTAAGAATCTTATTTTATTAATTTTCCTTATAAAAGAATTTTTTATTTAATTCATATGGGAGGTGCCGCTCCCCCCATTGGCCGTCCGCCAATTTATTACCCAAAATGTTTACATATATGTTAAAGTTCTTCGTCCAAAATTCTAAGATAAGATAAGATTCTAGCTCTAATAGTTTCCAAGATAAACGAATTTTTTTATTTAATTCATATAAGCGATGCCACGCCCTCTGCAGATAGTCCGCCCACTTTTTGTCCTAAATAATCGTATTGACACTAAAGTGTCTCCGACAAAATTTGAGAACTCTAACTGTTATATTTTCTCAGATAAACTGATTTAATTTTTAATTTTTTTTATGAAAATAGTTCGTGAATTATATTATACTTTTTCTTAAATTTTATAAAAATGTTGTAGTTTTATTTAATGATAATATAATTAATATAATTATGCTTACTTTCTCTAAAATTTAAGAAAGAAATATTACGAAAGGTTTTCGTACTTTCGTAAAAATAGAAAAGGGTTTTATTAAATAATATTTCGTATTATTCACGAAATTTTTGTAAATATTACGAAAATAGAAGTTACGAATTTTTTTTCGTAAAGTTGAGCATGGATTATTTTCAGTGTACAACATATCTGCAGCAGCTTCCGTTGATCCAATATCATCGAAATTTCTACCCATCATAAACAACAGCATCAACATCAAGACATCCATCTTCAGCTAAAGACACCAATAGTCATATTCATCAACACTAGATAGAGAGCGTAGAAACCATATTGCAAAAATAAGGTAAGTAAAAAAGTACTGCGGTAGTTGATGGTAGTTGGTAAAATTTTATTAAACTTTAAACTTAAGGGTTGAATCAAGGCCGCTGTTGCTGGCGCCGAAAAATTATCTGTACATTTGAATTTTCTTTTTAATAGTTTCTTTTTTAAATTATTTTGCTAAAACAAAAAAAAAAAAAAAAATCAAGCAATTGTTTCCATAGTTTTTTTTTTTTTTTTTTTGCTAAAACCAAAAAAACAATTATTTATTTTCTATTGGACCAAGTATGTTTTGGGCATACACAGCCAAAGGTGAGTCTGTCAGCGATTATACTTGTTGACTTGGAGAGGATCCCGGCCAATGGGATATTGAGGAACTGACGAGGTAGCTGAGGCACGCCCAGCAAGCTTTAACTAAAGCTTAACTCGATTTGGAGTTTTTTTATTTCGGACCATACCTTTCTCAAAATTTAGAGTAAATAGTTTTTTTGAACAAAATTTAACTCAATTTAGTAATCATATTAATCTCATTATTCGGCATTGTTTCGGAACATCAACACCCACCCAAATTTTAATATAAATTAATTGTCATACTGATTTCGGCATAAATTTAATTACATCTACACTGAAAATAAGCCGTGCTTAACTTTACGAAAAACAATTACGAAACTTTTTTTACAAAATAAAATTTTATTTTGTTACGAAATTTTTTGTTATTTTCGTAATTTTGAGCGAGTTAAATTAAACATAATTTTAAATTGACGGGAAATTAGCTGCCTTATTTCTTAAGTTTTAAAAGGCGAACATTTGATAATAAAAATTTTGATTTATTTTAAACTAATCTTGATGGAAATAATACTTTGAAAATTGTTATCATTTAATAATAAAATTTTTAAAGTGTCTGTTAAACATAAAACAATAGTTTTTTTAATTTACAATAATGTTTTTTAAATGAACTAACATTATTATGTAATTAAAAAAAATCATAAAATAAACAAATTTTGTTTCTAAAATTATTTTGCATTATACTAAAATATTTCGTACAATTTCGTATATATTACGAAAGAATGTACGAAATTTTTCGTGTATATTAGGCATGGATTATTTTCAGTGTATAAGTCTTTTTACAGTATCAGTAAATTGGGATAAGATCTCAAATTCCATTAATAAGTTTCATTATAAAATTTCTGATTAGAAACTGATTTTTCTTTTTATTTAAATTGTTTGTTAAACATTTTTTTACCTTTTTCAACCAAATTTTCACAATAGCTTAGGCTAGTTTCTATCAAAATCATAAATTGTCGGTCTTGTAATTATGATGTTTTAATCTCGAAAGAACAGAAAATAAAATCAAGAATACTTTTATCGTTTCGAGGTATCAGATTCAAGATTAAAACTCATTAACGCCTAATTATTCAAAAAAAATAATATCTCTGAATTGTCCTTAACCTAAAGTTTAAGTAATATCACTGAATTGTCTTTAATCTTAAGTTATTTACAGAAATGTTGGGTTTGTTCGGCTTGAGGTCTTTTCATTAAATAAATATTAAAAATTAAAAACTCTTTTTTGTTCTTAGTTTAATTAATATTTATTGTGGTTTCCAATATTTCGACCAACTTCGTTGGTCATCTTCAGGGAAAGTTATTTAATTTTAATGCAGTGTCGTCTGTTGTTTATGTTTTGATCTTCTATGACTAAAGTCATAGAAGATCAAAAGTTTAAATAATAATACCCCTGAATTGTCTTTAAATCCTAAGAATATATCAATAAATTTAATGGCAGGCCCAGTTAGAATTGTACATTATAGTTCTAACTTAGGGTTATAGTTCAGTTAGCCATCTGGCTTAAGTTAAAATACTTGTAAAATAACTTTGAAATGATATTTGAATATATTAAACATTTAACTTAATTTTAATATGACTTCTATTTAAACAGGCTATAGAGGTAGGTATCGAGGTGTGATTTGGCTCCAAAGTTTAATACATTTTGTCTATATTGTCTAAAAAATTATACATCAAATTAAAGGTATTAAAAATACCTTTCCAATGATATATAACATGATACTAAAATATGGACCGACTTTGGGTTTTTCCCGAAAAATATATATTTTGACCCGACTTTTTTTATCTAAAAGAAATCGGGAAAAAATGTCAATATAATTCTATTTGAAATATATGTTAATATGTTAATAGTCAATGAATTAAGCTTTTATTTAAGGTATAAACCATTTATACTAAAAAGCTCAACATCTTTTAAATATAAGTACGGCGAATTCATTTCACGAAACATTTTTGTAAAATTTTTATATCTCTTTATCTACATAGTGTATATATAAAACAATATTTTTTAAATTGTTAACATTTAATAGATTTCAAAATTAAGCCATAACGTAGAAGTCAGCTGCCACCGGCCGGGTAAATACTTCATATGCGTTTCTTAATATTAAGTGTTCCGGAAGAGATTTTTTTAGTTAATCACGTTATCTACACAATTTTAATATAAAATATAAAACAATAATGTGTAATATGTTAACATTTAATAGAAAAAAATATTTTTCTTAAATAACATATTTGTTAACATACCAATTATGCCATTATTTAAATAAAATTATATTTGTTTACGAGATGCTTGGTATTTTCAGATTTTTTACATAAATAATTCAAAATATTAACGAAGTTTTTCTCCGTTTAATGGACATTTTTAAATATAAAAATTTAAACAATAACAAACTTTGACAGCTACGTAAACCAGGCGAATGAAGAAAAAAAGATCAGCTGATTGAATAACACCACCTTATATGAATTCGCCTTGGTATGCATTGTCAATGTTTTGTACTGACTGCGGCGTTATGAAACACTATACTTTGTTCGTATACACAGCAACTGACGTTTTGGAAGTCAGCCGCCTTATCAAACTTTTGTTCTCTGTACAATTGTAGTCTGTATACATACAATATCCCATTTTAGCAATGTTGCTTTATTCGTTCACTATGTTATTAGAGTAAGACGCATATAACTCTAAGAATTTTGTTATTCTATAGGATAGTAAGAAAATCAATGTTAATGAAAAAGAAGAAGAACTAATTAAAATACTTACTTACTTACTTGTCTCACTGTATTATCAAGCCCATCTTGAAATGATTAGTCACCTGGGGCCACACTAAGTGGTTAGTTCGGGACAGTCCTGCCGAACTGCAGGGAACATACAAAATGTATGAAACTCGTTGTCGACAGTGGTTGTGGTTCCAATTGTAAACAACCATTGATACGAATATGAAATTTTTGTTTTTTTTTTCGCCCGCAATCGAAATGCGGTATACATATAAGCACTACTTGACATTCAGAAAAATTTAGTAAATTAACAGAGTAAATTGGTGAAACAATTGTCTAATTCACAAGCCTCGTGTAGCTACGTATCGTGTGTATTTTTGTATTAGTTTACACTTCTGTATAAATGTTATTGGTAATTTCAATTAAAAAAGCTCGTATAACTTTACGTTTATTTTTCATGTTTATTTATTTCGTAATCAATGTCAAACTATCATTCTCATGTGAATGCCTATAATTAATTTAGTTTTTCTATTTAATTTTATTTTTATAAATATTGAAGATGTTTTTCTTTATTTTTTACAACATGGCTTTTTACAATACACAAGCAGATATCGGAATTCTGTATTTTAATAAGCGATAGAAAATACAAATACCAGTTGTGAATTGGACAAATATGTATTTAGGTACCGTTAACGGTTTGCTCATTATATCCTTTCAACAAAGTTATGTACAAATAGTAAATAAAACAATCATTTAACTTTAAAAATTATGATATTGCATGGTTTATTATAATCATATATCCGACACAAGACATAAAAAGAAATCTTCCTGAAAATGTAAAAACACTAGATTTTAATTATTTTTATGTCTTAAAATAATAACATTTTACATTTTAACAAACAGAAAAAATGTTACGACTTCTTTTGATCTTTCCAGTTATGTAATCTTCTCAATTGTTCTAAAATGAGAGAAAGTTGATAAAAATGTTACTTATTTTTACACATTTATACCTAAAACTAGAGACTATTATATATATATATATATATATATATATATATATATATATATATATATATATATATATATATATGTATATATATATATACACGATATGTAGTGTATTATTGACATTTTACCTAAAAATTTATTCACTTCATTAGAATTAATTAGCTCAAGACATTATTTGTCTTGCTAAATCACTTCCAAAGCAAGTGGTAGTAGCACCACTATCTAATAATGATAAATACATCTTCCCAAAAACAAACACATTAACATAATAAAGTCTAATATCAATACTATTGGTAACAATGGTCGATATACATTGTTTTTGTAGGTTTCTCCAGTATGTTTTTATTCGAATTGCCGATCAAGTTTTCTTCTTATTTGGTTGACAAAATTTGCATATATTATTTTCGTTTATTTCCTTAACACGCGTGTGATATATTTGGTCTAAACAATTTAGAGAAACTTTTATATTATTAAATTCAGAAGTTAGTTTAATGCCTTTTTGTATGGATGTGTATCTTTTTTCGGATGCACATCCGCTTTCAAGTTTAAATGTTTATTTTGTTTCTGACACTTGGAACAATTCGGCTTATAAGTATCCGATGTTCCACAACCGTAACAAAAAATTTTACGAGGAGCCAAACAATCCTGATACCCATTTCATCACAATTCCAACATTTTAACAAATTACTATTAACTGCCTCAATTCGATCATCATTGTCATCACTATTATCTGTTTCTATTTTGTCATGGGATAATAAAATTTTCTCATGCTTTCTAATTTCCCGTCTTAATGTCGAAATATCGCTAATATTTACATGCAATAATTCATGCCGAATATTATTTCTCAAATTTCTACTAATAATTCCCACAAGCTCTTGTTCAGTTAAAGGAGATCTTAATTTGTCTGCCATGCATAGCATAACATCTAAAAATACACCAAATCGCTCATTAAACTTTTCTCTACGTCTACGCATATCATCCTTTATATCACAATCTGAACTCATCACAGTAATTTCATCTAAGCTACCCTTAAACGTTACATGCCAATTCTGAATGATATTTGATGTTCTATCCTTGGAAATCGACAATTGATCGTAGGAATTATCTAACGGTCGAGAAATTCTAGAATTTGCATTCCCTATTTCAGATCTGTTCCTATTCTCATTCATATTTAAATTATAAGACGAAAGAACATTATGCAATTCACTACCAATTATTTCAGCTCTAAAATTATGAAGAGATTCGGAAATATAGTGCAATCAAGTGCTCTGCGAGCCTGAGATCTAGTCTGAACCCGTGGTACAGCACCTTGAGATTGTACATTAGGTTGATTAACATTTTCCTCAGTCGAGGTGTCATCAATTATTTGAACCATAGGTTCACTTGGACTACGAGTTAAGGGCATTTGTTATCAATTATTGCTCATTAATTATTGCTCTTTTTTCTTTTTGTATATGTTTTTCCTTTTAAATGACTACTTCTAAGGTTGATGTTTGATTCTTATCTTATTAAATGTATAATTCGAGTAAAATTATTCAAATAGTATGTCAAAATTTTAATTGTCAAGAACTACACATTAAAAAAAATAAATTTATAATTCTATCGCAAAGGTATGTCAACTATTCATAATTGAACCAAACTTCCAATTGCAAAAGGATTTATAGAATAAATTAAAATTTATATAACATTATATAAATGGACAGTAATAAACTAAAAGTTTATATTTCTGTACTCCAATTTATAACATACATAATATATAAAAAAATAAAATAATTGAATAATAGGACTTGCATTAAACGTTAGTTTTTTTTCTTTTCAAAAACTAGATGTTAATTCATCTATGCAGGCCCCACGTTGGGCGCCAAGAATTATGTAACGATTTTCCTGCTCTACCATTTATTCAACTCGATCTGTAGACATTACACAATCTTAAAAAAAATAATCATGATTTTTCTTTTTTTTTAAAGTGTAATGATCTGTAATATGGCAACTCTACAAAAGATTGTAGTAATGTGTTATGTGGCAACTCTAAAAACTCATTAAGCCTTTGTCAGATGGAATGCAACCTGGCCTTTTTTGCATTTCCGTTTTAAGAATTATTATTGTAAGCCATTCTAATCAGAAAGGAACATAAATAAAAAACAAATAAGCATCCTTTACAACATCAGGTGTGGGGTGCATCTTAGTAAACCAACGAAAATATCGAAGCAGCTCAATGATGGATCTAAGACCTAGTCGCCAGACAATGACTGATGCATTAAATGCAGCCGGCATCGAGTTCCCTTCTTCTGCGACGCTGAGCCAACTACGAGGCTTATATGAAGCGCTAATGACACAACAAAGCAACCACGCTTTAAAACCAGCAAGCGAAGAGGATACAGTGGAAGACATGAACCAGTGCGCTGTCCAAGCAAATACTGATGCCGCTGAAAATACTATTAAGACACACGTTGTCGCAAATCCTGCTGCACAACAGCAAACACGTGCTCTAGATCAGTACGCCGTAGAAGTCAACACTGAAGTCCACGTGCATGATGCCGCTGAAACTGAAGACAATGCAACTGCTGTCCCGAAGCCCGCTGTAATTGCTGCCGCTGCCAGAATGCACACTGGAAAAACTTATGATTTTCTTCCAGATACCGCATCTGCTACAGGGTCCGACGAAATAAAAAAATTACAACTTCGTTTACAGATGTTACAACTACAGCAACAAATACAGGCCCTAGAAGAGGGCTTATCATACCAATCTCCTGTACGCAGAATGGACTGGATGGAATTGGACGCTGCTGTTCCTATATTTAGCGGTGACGACAACCAAGACATAAACCGCTGGTTCGTAGTCTTTGAAGATTATGCGGGGATGTTTTCCGAAAAGGAAAAATGTGCAGCCATACGCCGACGTTTGGAAGGGACGGCCAAACAGTACGTTACAAACTTAGGCCTGTTACAATTTGATGACTTAAAAGCTCGCCTAACAAGAATGTTCAAACGTACAGTTTCCCGGCAAGAGGTATACAGGCAACTACAGCAAAGAAATTTAAAGCCTGACGAGTCGTGCCTCAGCTACGTGGTGGCTATGCAGTCAATCGCTGCTAAAGCTGATATAGAGGAGCAAGAGCTAGTGGACATAATAATTGATGGTGTCCCTAAGAATGACAACGCAGTCAATATGCTCTACGGCGCCAGTAGTATGGACGACTTACTACGTCGTCTGGATAGGTATGAGTGCCGCCGTCAACAACGCCGCGTTCCGTTAAAGACTGTTACCGCAGCTAAACCGATGCCTTCTGAAACCACTGGTAATAAATCGACTGACGCTGAGGTCCGCTGCTACAACTGCTCGCAATTTGGACACTACCAAAGTCAGTGTCAGAAGCCCAGACGTCCCCCGAATTCATGTTTCGTGTGTGCAGAGATGGGACATTTCCACAAAGACTGTCCGAAGAAGAAGACTGCAGTTGGAGCCATAAATATTAAGGGTATTGATGCATTCCAATCGGTAAGTGTTGCCTTCAGACAACAAAATAAGCGCACTGATGTTATTAAATTTTTTTCTTTGTTTGATACGGGTAGCCCAATTAGTTGTATAAGTGAATCACTAGTACCGTTTGCAATCCCTATTAATAAAACTGTACCTACATTTCGCGGCGTTGGAAACAAAATCATAAATATAATCGGTCGTGTTGGATGTGACATATTTTTTCAAAATAAAACAGTAGCGGGTGATTTATTTGTTCTGCCGGATTCCGAAGCCATAGTGCCACTTTTAATCGGGCGTGATGTACTTAATAAACTTAATATTCACTTATGCAGCAAGAAAATTTCTTATAATAAAAATGAATTGTTAAAATTGAATTTGAAAAATGGATACATTGACAAAAAAATACATCGTGCGCTTGTGTTGTTTAAATTATGTAGTAGTCCTGAACTTCCACCTGCGGTAGAGAATTTATTCGATGAACTTCCATTTGCAACGTGTAATAAGAATGATTTTATTGAACCGACTAACATTAGGAGAATTATTTCACCTGAAGTAAAACATCTAGCGAGTCGTGGTAAAATTGCTTCTGAAAATGAGTGTAGTATAGTTGAAAACGTTGAAGATTTAGAAATTATTAACGAAGATGAGTATTGTGAGGAAAACATGGAAATAATTTGCAACGTTGAGGATAATACGAATATAGACATTGATGAGGGACTAGATACAGCGAGTGCGTGTACATTAAGGTCAATGTTAGAAACGCAGTATTTTGATAGATTGGGATCTCCTACAAAGATGGTAGATTATTGTATGGAAATTAGGTTAACCAATGATGTACCGATTTATAGTGGTCCAAGACGGCTTTCATACCGGGAAAAGTCTGAGGTTAAATTGAAATTAAATGAACTCTTAGAGAAGGGTATTATACGCCCTAGTGATTCGGCATATGCCTCGCCGATTGTGTTAGTGAGACGGAAAAGCGGGCAATTGAGAATGTGCGTAGACTACAGGGCCCTGAACAAGATTACACTAAAGGATAATTATCCCTTACCCATAATCGAGGATTGTCTGGACTATTTAGGTAATAAAAAAATTTTTTCGACCCTTGATTTAGAAAATAGTTTTCATCAGGTACCGATGCATGAGGATTCGATAAAATATACGGCTTTCGTCACCCCTTTGGGTCAATACGAATATTGTTATATGCCTTTCGGGCTAAAAAATGCTGGTGCTGTATTCCAGCGGTTTATTAATAAAGTTTTAAGAGATTTTATAGAATCAGGTAAGATTGTAGTTTACTTAGATGATATAATCATCGCCACTGAAACTTTGGAGGAACATGTAGGATTATTGTCGGACGTGTTAGGTGCTTTAAGTGAAGTAGGTTTGAGACTTAATATGAATAAGTGTAAATTCGCATATCGGGAAATAGATTATTTAGGTTATCGTGTGAACGAGATGGGCATT